AGTAAAGACAATTATAATGTTACAAAAGATTTATATTTCAAATAAGAGAAAAAAATCTTTAAAATATGTTTCATGGTTTCCACAAAAATATTAAGCAACTCAACCTGTTCACTTGTGTGTGTTGTAGAACGAGTGTGTGCGTATGGTGGTTCTTGGTCTGTTGAAGACTCTCACTCATTTGGATGATGTTTTAGTGATGGAGGAGGAAGCAGGTGCTGCTATTCAAGTGGCTGCCCAATCTAGAATCAACCAGGTATAAATATTCTGGACATTATACTCAATGTTAACGTTTGTGTCCACATTTGACCTGGAACTTGTGTGTGTGTGTGCAGGCATCTCTGATGACCCACTCTCGGACTGACAGTGAATGTCCCCGCAGTCTGAGTTTGCTCTCTTCTGCTCACCTGCTCACACAGATCAGCCCATCTCCATGGAAACACTCACAAGAGCTTGAGTTAGGCTGGACCACCAAAGTATGACATATAAACTCACATTCTCTCACACATTTGAAAGGGTTCATTCACTCACCCTTTTGTAATTTCTTTGTTTGTTCTGTGAAACACAAAGAAGATATATTGTAGAATGATCAAAGGCCTCTTTATTAAAATTGGATTTGAGACATTTATTCTGTTTTTTTTAATGACCATTTTTGAACTTCAACAGCTCAACTTCCCATTAAGTTCCATTATGTGTTAAAGAGCACTCTAGACATTCTGCAATGTATCTTCCTTTGTGTTTAGCAGAAGAAAAAAAGTCATAAACATTTGGTGAGTAAAAAGCTATGTTTCCATCCAAAGTTGCAAATTTAACTTGTGCGCAAAATTACAGTATCACGTAAAACATTTGCATAGCGTTGTTTCCGTCCCATGTGTTCAAGAGAATAAAACGGTCACATTCTGGGAAACTAGTGCAAAGAATCAAAAATAAAAATGAAGGTTGCTGCAACTGGGGAAGCCTGTGGCTCCTTTTTCCTACATAATAAATGACGAAACACGATAACAAACGCTGTCATATTAACTTGCATTCGGATGACAAAAAGTTTTGAGACAGTCGTGAGACAGTTGTGAGAGCCACAACCAAATTGTTTTGATGACAGGTATTTCAAAATTATTAAAACAACATTTTAGATTTTATGCGATGAGATTGGTGCACTACTTCAGTTATCCAAGCACATGATCTGTAGAAGAAAAGTCATGTAATTTTTTTGATTTGCATTAAGGAATTCATTTGTTAAATGTGTTTCCATCATAGTTTATTCGCATGTCTTCTTATCAGAAAAAAAATTATATGACTCAATTGAGCGCATATGTTTTTATGTGCATCTTGGCATTTCCATCCAGCATTTTATTTTGTGATATATCCCAAAATTCACATAAAAATAGGTGGATGGAAACAGCTAATGATGACATAATATAATTTCTTGGTAGAGCCGTATCTTTAACCTATATATTTTGTCCTTTGCCCTGCGGGGTCAGATCACCGCACTGAATCTTGATGGCCAGCGGTTGACCCGGCTCAGTAATCTTGACCGTCTAGTGAATCTATGCTGGGCTTCATTTGACAATAATGAATTAACCCGAATTGAGGGTCTGGAATACTGCCCCCTACTGGAGGAACTTTCTCTTAATAACAACAGTATCACCAGATTGGAAGGTAGTGCTCTGTCTCTCCCTCTCTCCCAGTATCTTTACTGTATCAGTTTAATATAAAACCAGGAACAAAGCGGTGTAATAGAACCTTCATTAGTTCATCATACTGTTTTTTCTGTGTTCATAGCTGCTCTTTGTTTGGTGTGTGGCAGGTTTGTGTGCTATGCATCATCTGACTCGTCTGAGCATTAACAGCAACCACCTACAGTGTTTAGACGGGGATGTTTTGGACCAGCTACCCAACCTTCACTTCCTGTCTGTCGAGAACAACATCATCTCCTCTCTTCATGGACTTCAAAGGTCACGGTCCTTATTTGAGCTGTATGTCGGCAACAATGACATCAGCACTACCCGAGACATATACCACTTAAAGGTGAGGAGATTTTATAGATCTGAATATCATTTTGTGCAAATAATGATTTTTTAAGCATTCATTCAAAGTACCTGGTCATGAGAATACATGTAATGTGCTTTAGTGGAATGTTGAATTGAATAAAGTGTGGTGGTGATGTAGTGTTGTTTACTCTCAGGCACTGTCTAGTTTAATTATTCTGGATCTATACGGGAATCCCCTAGTAAACAAATTCGAGAACTACAGGATCTACATGGTTTTCCATCTGCCTTCACTCAAAGCACTGGATGGAGTAGCTGTGGTAAATATAACTGATGCTTCTGTATGTATAGTTTTTGTTTTCATATGTACACTACCATTCACAAATTTTGAACGAAATTAGTACATTTATTCAGTGAGGATGCATTAAATTAATCAAAAGTGACAGTAAAGCCATTTATTATGTTACAAAAATATTTTTAAAAAATGCTGCACTTTTGAACTTTCTACTCATCAATGAATCCTGAAACAAATGTATCACGGTTTCCACAAAACTATTAAGCAGCACAGCTGTTTTCAAAATTGATAATAATAGGAAATGTTTCTTGAGCACCAAATCAGCATAT